ATTTGCACTTCTCGTCAGTAAACTAGAAAAGATCAGTATTCGCTACAAGGAACTCCCGGATTACAAAGGCCAACAGCCTCAATACGAGTTGTGAGTTTAATAAGATACACTATACAAAATTTAAGACCAAGCTAAGCCATAATGGCAAGGCAACTTGCAGGGCTTTGAAACACCGGTCCGTGTCTTGATGGAGAAGATGGAGAATATGACGAACTGTGGTTGGAATTGGACCCATTGCTAGTTCCGCGCGGGGTATTTACAGTTGTGGAATTTTGTGAATCTGAATGTCGATTTGGAGAATCGTTTCTGAGGAAGGAGTGATTATATTGCTGAGAACCAGAGTGATGCACTAGATGGTATTTGGTTGTCTGATAACCACTGTTGAGTTTCCCACAAAGATCAATGCGATCAGATCCATTTAATATTCCAGAAGAATTTACATTCACCGTATTAGTTAAAAGCTGATTTCCAACTCGATTTACTCTAATATGACCACTGCTACCAGCAGTATCAGTGTCGGAGCTCGAGTGCGATGATTCAGGTGGAGTCGATAAATATGTACGACGAGAAGGATAACCGTTAGGAGAGGTGTGACTACTGGATTGATAATCACTAACGATACCAGATTCGTTGCAATCACTGCGAGAGCCAGGACTTACGCCTAAAAGAAATTGGAACCAAAAACGAATAAAAAAGATAGGAGTTGAAGGAGGAAGCGAATTTATCACATGAAAGCACAAAACAAAATAGAACTAACCATTAGAATCATAAGTTCGCTGGGCGTATTGGGGATCAAAGCACTTAATCTTCTCTCGCTCTGAATTGTAAGCCCCTTCTTGCATTTTGTTTGATTTACAATGAGAAACATATACCGATGGATTTTGGCGCATTACATAATGGAGTCGATTGTTTGTGGTACTTACGTATGCACCACCCATAGTTGATCGAAACAAAGATCTATGCAGGGAAACATGCGGTTTTTCAGAATGAGTGTGCGAAGATAGGCCATTAAAATTGTTATTATTGACAACTTCACTACACGAAGTACTGTGTTTTAGCATCAGGACAGGAGTTGGGTGCCCAGATTGACCATGGGAACGAGCATTGTTGCTCCGTTTAAGTAGACTCTCCTGTGGTGGTGCAGCAGAAAAATAAGTTTGCAAGCTTTCTTCTTGGTTGAGGAAATTTTGAGAGAATTTTTGACTGTAAGAAGAGGGCAGAATAGGAGAAAACTCTGATGTATTTTGAATCTCAACTTGATCTCCAATTATTAGTTCGTTCCCTAGCTCTGCACTAATAAGTTACTGTTTAGTATACCTGTTTTAATAGAAATAGAACTAATAGGATCATCTAGCTTAAGTTTAAAATCTCCAGAGACAGCATCTGT